AGTGATACTGCCTCGGAAACCCAAGGAGGGGTCGCTATGAGTCAGGGCTGACTCGACGGCACATAACAACAACAACAACAACAAATTTGGGAATGGCCTCAGGTTTCTCCACTTGACTCTTTCCCTTTGGTGAGTCATAAAGGAGATCTGGGAGCTCTGGTGGTGTAATCCCTAAGGCATGTGACTGCTAAACAGAAGGCTGGCAGTTTAAACCCACCAACCACTCCTCAGAAGGAAGACTGGGCAATCTACTTCCATAGAGATTGTTGTTGCTGTTATGTGCTGTTGAGTTGGACCCGACTCATAGCGATACCACCTAGGAAACCCAAGCAGGTGTCACTATGAGTCAAATGCACTCAACGGCTTTGAGTTTGGTTTTTTGGTTTTGGTTAATAGGAGCTCTCATAGCATATGCCTAAGGCATTTGACTGCTGACCATAAGGTTTGCGGTTGAAACCCACCAGCCACTCCACGGGAGGAAGACAGGGCAATCTATTTCCGTAAAGATTTTACCATCTCGGAAACTCAATGGCATGAAACAAAATGTGGAAGAACTGCTGTATGGAAAATGATTTTGCTCTGTAAACTTTCACACAAATCACAATTGAATAAAAGAAAAGAAAAGGAGAAAAAAAGCAGCAGGTCCATCATTCTTTTATACTTCTCTACAGCATGCTTCAAAAAGCATCTGATAAAACATTCACTTCCTGGAAAGTCCTCAGTATAGATGATGAGAGGTTAGATAAAACAAACATAAGACCTTCAAAACCATCTTTCTCCATTTAAAAATTTGAGGGGAAAAAAACTTTATTGCTATTATTATTACTGTCATAAGTTTGCTAAGACAGATCTGATTAGACTTCTGCTTATCATCTTGGTCATTACATCTTTCAAAATTTTGGATTTTCAACTATTGACTATTGTTGTGTTACCTGAAACGTTCATCTCGTTCTCCAGACCTGATACTTGCTGCTCGATCATTGGGAAGGGCTACCTGTGCATCCTCCTCTACCTTTTTATTTGCTTGATGACTGTGAATGTGTGTTGTTCCGGCTGATTGAAGCATTGCTACAGGTGCATAGTCTTTGCCTTTTGCAAAATCTTCAACTACAAACTCTCCCACTGGATTAGTGACCGCAGGGGATATGCCTTTTACAGAATAGAGTATTAAGTTTATATGCAACTTTTTGAATTTCATTTTCCAAGCAATATTCATGAATTATTTAGTACACAAGATCATTGGTTTAACTTAAATGCTTAGCACCAAAACAAGCACATGCATTAATAAAATACAAAAAATTAATTTATTAAGTGGCTCTAAATAAAACACAAGTCCTTATAACTTAGCTACATAATGCATGCATATGTAAATTACAGGGTAACTCAAAGAAGTAGGTTGGCCATGGGAAACAGATTTTTGTAGGTTAAGAAGAGATATAAATTTCTGCAATTTCATATGATTCAACATGTTGTTGTTGTTGTTGTTATGTGCCATTGAGTCAAACCTGACTCATAGCGACCCCTCCTTGGGTTTCCGAGGCAGTATCACTACGGAAGTAGGATTGCCCAACCTTCCTTCCAAGGAGTGCTGGTGGGTTTGAACCGCCAGCCATCTGGTTAGCAGGCAAGTGTCTTAGCCACTATGAAAAGATAATTGAGAATGAGATAAAACAGCATAAGAAAAAGGGAACAACGAGTTTCTGTTTATAGGAATGAAAAAATTGGCAATGGATATCAGTGATGGCTGCAAACATGATCAGTGCAATTGGTGTCACTGATTTGTCCTCATGAAAAATGTTGAATTGGCAAACGTGTTATCTATATTTTTACAAATATTCTTAAACAATGTTCCACTGGGAGGGGACATGCAAACAAAAAAATAAAAAGAATAAAACAAAAAAAATTACAATGCTTCACTACTTTTATATTTGACTAGACTAATGCAGAAGACCCCTGGTGTCAGTGGTTAAGAGCTAGGCCGCTAACCAAAGGTTAGTAGTTCAAACCCACCAGTAGCTCCACTAGAGAAAAGACCTGGATGGAAATCTGCTCCTGTAAAGATTATAGCCTAGAAAACTAGGGGTCAGTTCTACTCTGTGATATGGGCCACAATCAATCAGAATCAACTCTTTGGCACACAACAACAGACCAATGCTATTCAAATTGTAATACTTAGAATGCCAATATCATCTTCTTCTGGAAACTTGTTATAAATGTGTACTATTGGACCCCATCACAGACCTACTTAATCACCAATGCAGAGATGTGGGCCAACGATCTGTATTTTAACAGGTTTTCCAGGTGATTTTAATACATGCTATAAGGTGAGGACCAGTGAATCAGACTGCATTTAATATAACAGCACATATTGACATTAATTAATATGTTAATACAAGCCCATATTAGCCAAACTTGTGAGCATCTACAGTGGCATACCAGGATTAACTTTCATCTGGACTTTCTTTTTTTGAGATCGGCACACACCATGGAAATCTAAATAGATATGATGAAATGGTTTCATTGATAAAGACTGAAAACTTTCATCTGCTACGAGACCAATAATCTCTACTACTTGCTTCGATTTAAAGCTTCCAATTTGGTGTGGAATAAAGGAGCATACGACATTCTAAAAGGAGAAGAAAATAGTAACAAATATAATATTGTTAGGAAAAAAAATCAAATTCAAAATAATTGCTTATAAAATTTCAGGGGAAGCTGTATTATTATGGAGCTAAGTGTTTTAGAAATAGCACATACAACACTGATTAACGTTTAAAATATTCAAGATTAGAGGATTATTTAAGAAAAATTAGTAACAAAGGTAATAAGACATTTCCAGAAAGTGGAGTAAGGAAATCCAAAAATCTCCCTCTCCATAAAAAGAAAGCAAAACTGTCAAAATCAACTTTTCAGTTATCTGTAAATTAACTAAAGGCTTACAAAAAGCTGAAGAGTACTTATTCAAGAAAAATTGACTGAATCTCTATAAAACAGCAAGTTTTGTGATGTTTTCATTTGTTTTAATCCCATCTGCAGGAGCCCCAGTGGTGGAACAGTTAAGTACTTGGCTGCTAACTGTTGGCAGTTCAAACCTCGGCAGCTCTGTGAGAGAAAGACCTGACAATCTGCTCCTGTGAGTACTACCACCTAGAAAACCTTATAGGGAAGTGGCCCTGAGAAACAACAGTCTTCCAATTATGTTGTTGTTGTTGTTGTTGTTATTTGCCGTCGAGTCGGCCCTGACTCATAGCGACCCCTCCTTGGGTTTCCGAGGTAGTATCACTATGGAAGTAGGATTGCCCAACCTTCCTTCCGAGGAGTGGCTGGTGGGTTTGAACCGCCAGCCTTCTGGTTAGCAGTCAAGTGCCTTAGGCACTATGCTACCAGAGCTCCCCTTCCAATTATAATAGCTGTGAAAGCCATTAGTCCAGCAGCCAATGGAGGAGGCAGAATGAGTTTAGAGTTCTCATCAACATCCATTCCCAGAGAATTTATTATTCCCCTTTGTGCTGTCTGGCAGCTTCTCATTTTGAAGGCTTGTTTTAATCTGACCTGATTGATAATAGTCATCTTTCCAGAGTTTTATTTATTAGAAGAAAAAAAAGCAATAATCATTGAATATCATAGCAACCTGAGGCGGGGCAACCAGTTGAGGCTAACAAAAAGCTAACCAAAAATAAAGAAGAAATTAAAAAGATAAGATAATAACAAGTGGGAAATAAGATATCCATAAGAAATTAAAAGTTAGTAACAACTGGGAAACAAGATATCTATAGAGCATTTGAAGAAGTCTGACATATTCTCAGGTATCTAGATGACCACACACATGTGTAGGGCAGTGTACATACACAAGGAAAATCTTAGAAGGGTGAGATCTATCACCTCAGGCTGACATTGAGGCTGTGTGCCAAGAAGAATTGAAAGCTATACAGACTTACAAGGCTTGGTGATCTGCTTTTATTGAGATTACAATGAAGAAAACCCTATGGAGCAAAGTTCTACTCTGTAACACATGGGATCATCAGTGAGTTGGAATTGATGGCAATGGGTTTGGTTTAATACCCTCACAGAGATGCCCCACCATTACCCATAGTATGTATTCTCCTTCACTTCAATAAGTAATAAACACAGTTTATTCAACTGCAGGTGTGTTTCTGGAGGTCTTTGGCTAGAGGCCATTAACAGGAGGAAGGCAGAAACTGATTACTAAAAAGATAATGTGATATAATTTATTAGTTATGGTATCAGTGACACAGAATGCAATGTATGTTATAAAGAAAGTTGCCTTCCAAATTTAACTTCCACAAAATCACTAGGATTCAAAAGTTATGGTAGACTGGATTATCATTCCCAATCCTTTAATCCCTTTATGTCTATCTGTCTGCCTGTCTATCTATCTGTCTATCACTTAAACTGGAAAAAAAGAAAAACCTCACTATTGTTGATTCAGATCTGACTCTTAGGGACACCCCCCCCTTAGGTATCTGAGGCAGTATCACTATGGAAGTAGATTGCCCAATCTTCCTTCTGAGAAACCCTATTACGGTAGTTCTACTATGTCTTATAGGGTTGCTATGATTTGGAATCTACTTGACAGCAGTGGGTTTGGGTTTGGTTTTGGGGGGTCTTTTGTCTGAGAATGTACACTTTTTTGGCCTGCCTCTTCCCTTCCCTCTTTATCCCACTCCCTTACCAATGTCACCGGGGAGCGCTTCCTTACTAAACAATTTAAACATCAATCTTTATCTCAGGGTTTGAATCTGGAAAACTCAACCTAAAACAATAACTCTAACAGAAATTCTTCAATTTCTCTCAATTATTTTTTTTATTCCCTGCTGAGATCCTTTCAACATAAAAAATCACTTTAAGAGAGAAAATTCCATCAAAGAGTTCTCATTATTAATATATTTTCCATGATTTTCTAAAACTGAGCCAACTTTCATTTCCCTATAACTTTTATTGGTATGAATAATTTTTTTCCTTCCTTTCAATTTGTACTACTATCACTTTATTCCAGTTTTTTTTTCTTACATCTTTTCTAGGGGTTATAGTAGCTTCATTGAAGTCCTTTCTGTTAAAAATATTTTCTCATCCAATCAATCCTGTAACAATTGCCTAAAGTGCCATTCACAAAACTTCAGTGGATTCCCAAGGCTTACTAAACATGTTATTGTTGTTGTTATGTGCCGTCGAGTCAGCCCTGACTCATAGCGACCCCTCCTTGGGTTTCCGAGGCAGTATCACTACGGAAGTAGGATTGCCCAACCTTCCTTCCAAGGAGTGGCTAGTGGGTTTGAACCGCCAGCCTTCTGGTTAGCAGTCAAGTGCCTTAGCCACTATGCTTCCAGAGCTCCCTTACATAGTCCAAACTTTTTACTCCAGCTTCCAAGACAACTCGATCTTGACCTATAACCTCCCAACTCTACTTACAGCTACAGCCCTGAATGTTCAGTAGACTGAGATCAAATTAAAATTTCACTAATCTCTGCATATTCTATAGTCTTTCTCCAACCATATTTTTGGTAATGGTGGTTCTCTCTGTAACAGCACTCCTCAACATTTAATCTCTTGTACTTTACTAATCATTTTATCAAAACCTTATGTCCAATACAAAATAGTGTGTTAGACAGGTAGGAAGAAAGAAAGAAGTAAAGGAGGAAGAAAAGGGAAGGGAGAGGAAGAAGGAAGGGAGAAAGGAAGGAACGAAGGAAGGAAGGAAAGAAGAAAAAGATGACTATTAGTTTTCAGGACATCAAAATTGCAATAGCATTTATGCTTGTTGTTGTTGTTGTTGTTATGTGCCGTTGAGTCAGACCTGACCCATAGCGACCCCTCCTTGGGTTTCCAGGGCAGTATCACTACGGAAGTAGATTGCCCCATCTTCCTTCCGGGGAGTGGCTGGTGGGTTTGAACCGCCGGCCTTCTGGTTAGCAGTCAAGTGCCTTAGCCACTACGCTACCAGAGCTCCCAGTTATGCTAGGGAATTTTATTAAGAATTCTTAGGTAGTAGTAAAAGTTAAAAGTTGCAAACAATGGAAACCCACTCTAGTTATCTTAAACTGAAAATTAATTTCTTGGAAGGATTGTCAAGAACTCAAAGAATTGATGGAAGCTATAGAACAAGACTTGGAAAATGGGTGAAAACCAAGGAATTCTACACAGTCAGCACCACCTTCACTGAACATTGCAGCTCACAGGGTAAATCCAATACTTTCTTAACTTCTGATTCAAGTATCTTGATTGGAGTGTCTAACAGAGCAATGTTGGATTATGAGCCTAGAGTTCAGGGAGTGTGGATATTAGGGCTTTTTGTTTCTTTTCTCTCTCTCTCTCTCTCTCTCTCTCTCACTGCCATTGAGTCAGATCCAACTCATAGCAGCCCCTCCTTGGGTTTCCAAGGTGGTAAGACTACGGTAATAGATTGCCCAGTCTTCCTTCTGGTTAGCAGTCAGATGCCTTAGGCACTATGCCACCAGAGCTCCTTTTTATTTCTACAATAGGGGACAAATACCTGCCTTCCTCCAAGACCCACAAAATGACAGACCACCCAAACATAAAGTTATGGGATTCATATAATGACCAGTCAAAAATAATAGCAAGTATCTACCATATTTTAGAAAATATTTTAATAATTCAGTTTCTTTTCTGATATCTACCAGCAGTACAAGCCCTAGGTCATTTAGTACAATCACTTTGAAATTCCAAAATTCTACTTAATCTTCAAGGCTTGGCTCACGTGTCACTCTCTTTTGAAGACTTCTCTACCTGATGGCAGTAAACACCTTGCCCTCTGTGTTCTATATCATTTTATTCGCAGCTCTCTTTTAACATATTCTACATTCTTAAAACACACCTACTACATGGAAAAAGAAAATTGCAAGCAGAAACTATATTTTTCACTTATTTACAGAGTTATGTTTTACGCTTATTTACGTATTTAATATTACTAGTAAATATGTTTCTTGTCACATTATAAGCATTTAACAAATAAGTATGGATTCTGTACAAGTGTTAATAGAAAAATATGGATAACTAGACCACAGAAGATAAAAAATTTACAAACATTGGTGGGACAAATGTAGTTCTTATCTTCTGAATAGCATTTTAGCAGACCATAAAATGTTTAAAGAAATATGAAAGCAAAACATAGTTATCTTACCTGAATACATCCTTCATCAAGCTTTCCCTTTTTAGGATCAATTTTAAAATGTGCCGTTTTCTGGAAATGATACATTATAGGGAGTGAATCAGATCGATTTTGCATAAGACACAGAATCTCCGAATGTTCACCCATAATACAGGGTGGAAATTTAAAGACTTTGGCTGGATTGAATTGCAATAACACAGGAATGCCTGAGCCTGTCAATGCTAATTCCACTTTCTGAAATCGATCATCTGTAAAAACAAGAATAGGTGTTG